TTCAAATAGAAAGCAGTTATTTTAAATAGTAAAAATATTTCACAACATTACTGCTTTTGCTGTACTTTGGATCAAATAAATGCAGGCTTGGTGAACATAAGAGACTTCTTTATAAAACATTAAAAATCTTACTGATCAAAAACTGTTGACTGGTAGGTTATATAGATTACAGAAATGTTATATTGTAATAACATTTCTGTCCCCCTCACTTCTGAAATGATGGCTACGCCCCTGGTTCGGCATCAGTATCTACGTTAAATAAATAAATGGTATTCAATCTCAAGAGAGATTGAGAATGAAAAGGAAAGGTGTATGCCTAAAGAAATAGTAGTGGAACAATATTTGAAGCAAAACTATTTTAACAGTATTCAAATATATACGGATGGGTCAGAAAATCCAGATTCTGGGTGTACAGCAGCAGCCATATATACATATATATATATATATATATATATATTCCCTATTTTATATATAGTATAGTTAAAAGGTTATCTAACGATGTATCTGTATTCACAACAGAAATTATGGCAATTCTAATGGCTTTGCAGTGGGTGGAAGAAATCAATCCTATAAGTGTAGTAGTTTGTTCAGATTCATATTCAGTATTGAACTGTTTAAATAGTGGGAAATCAGCATCTAGACAGGATATACTTTATGAAATTTTACAGAATTTATATAGAATAAATCAAACCGAGTAAGAGTGGAGTTTTTATGGATACCTGCCCATAGAAGGGAACGAGGAGGTGGATAAGCTGGCCAAAAACAAGAGATTGACATAGAAATTAAGTAAAAGGTATTATTAAAACAGCAGTTGGAAGTATGTGGCAAGTTGTATGGAATAAAGAGTCAAAAGGGAGACACCTGTTTAGCATTCAACAGAAAGTGGGGACTGAAAGAAAGGTATATGGAAACAGAAGATACTGTTATAACCAGGATCCGTATAGGACACGCTAATCTTAATTATTCATTGCATATAATAGGAAAAAGTGAGTCAGATAGCTGCAGTTACTGTGGAATAACAGAAACAGCTGAACATGTGCTTTTACATTGTGAGGCATAGCCTATAATAGACAAAGAAAGCAGCTTGATATCCTCCTGACTACCAGGAAAAAACAGTTTTGTGAATTTAGTATTTTGTCATGTCATTACATTGTTTAGAGCATAAGAAAAATGTGAAAAATAACATTTTTGAAAAATGATATTTCATTCATATGTTATGCCATGTCCTCTGTAGAAGACATCGGGACTTTAAAAAGTCCTGTTTTTAAAGAAATAAAAAGACATGAATAGACATGAAAAGGCAAAAACAGTGGGATTTTTGTTTTAATCACAAATCAGCTTTCATTTTTTTATACCAAACTTTATATAAAGACGATTCTCAACTATGTTATGAAAGATATATATATTTTTTAAATTCTTTATGCAAAATGTGTGTAAAATGGCCATAAACAGTTTTTCCATTATACACAATGTATCTATAAACTGTATCTAATTTGCATATTAATGGGGGCAACATAGAATGAACAAATAAGTGCAATAATGCGAGTAATAAATTTTTGTTTTAATCACAAATCAATTTTCATTTTTTATACCAAACTTTATATAAAGATGATTCTAAACTATGTTATGAAAGATATATATATTTTTTAAATTCTTTATGCAAAATGTGTGTAAAATGGCCATAAACAGTTTTTCCATTATACACAATGTATCGATAAACTGTATCTAATTTGCATATTAATGGGGGCAACATAGAATGAACAAATAAGTGCAATAATGCAAGTAATAATTAGCAAGATTTTCATAATAATATCTAATATTTAATAGGAATATTGATACATAATTTTTTTTCTGTTCATTTGTTGTGTCTCCCAAAATGTGTAATAAACATGCTTTAAGTCCTGGTGTCCTCTACAGTGGACATGTATGAAATCAACATCCGGTTTCATTACAGAAGCTCATATTTTGATTTGAAACCCCATAACATTTTCCTGAGATGTTGATTTATGACAAACAATTTGAAAATTAGTCAGATTTAAATGATAATTACAAAATATTATCATATTTCCATAAGGGTGTTACATTTGATCACTAAATGAATGTCAGCTGTTTTTAAAGAGCAAGGAGAGGGAGTGGTCACGGAGAAACTTCCAATGATTTGGTATCTCTGAAAAGCCCTGAATGTGCTCTGTACAGGACATCCAGACTTACAACTGTGGCATGTACCGTCTCAGAGAAATCACTAAAATATACTGTCCCCTACAGAGGACAAAACTCATTGCTGGTAGTCAGGAGGATATGGAAATCAACGACATTTCAGTTAAGAATATACTTCAGAATGCACAGAAACAGTTAAGGGTTTATGATTTTCTTCTAAAATATTTGAGAGATACAGATTTGATTAGAAGAATTTATAGATTTTTTTTTTTATAGTATATCATATTTTCGTTCATCGAGGCCTCACACTCCATCCCAGTAGGTGACGGAAATGCACTTTAAGCTGATTTGCCTACCGCCATTAAACACAAAAGAAGAAGAATAAGGGGCCCGGGGCTTGTCGCCTCGCTCCGGCGCAGGAGGTGGCGGTGCTTAGCCGAGCACTCCGGCTCGCGTCCCGGCGAAGAAGCAGAAGTGACGCCCGCAGTGACGCATCGGTTGCTACGGTTGCAGATTATGTTGCACACATCCGGGGTGTCCGCGGCTCGTGCGCTCGCCTGTGTTTTTAACGCAGTTCTCTCCAC